ATACTAACAGCAGGATCCAGCACGTGGACCCACGGGCTCACTCCTCACCCGAAGCCTCAAGCTCTTCTCCTTGTTCATCGCTTGCCAGCCACAATGCTCCTCTGCAAGCAAACGCTTTTAAAACCATTGGAAGGTCGTGTGGTATTGTGATGAAGTCTCTTGGTTTAATGAGCTTTGAGCTGTTCATATTCTTTCTGCCGATGCAAAGCGCACTGTCCGCTGTGAATGGTTTCCTTCTTGCTTCGCTGCTTCAGTCTCCAGCAAGACAATAAAAATTATATTGCAAGGCTAACTAACAGTCCTGGATGTTTTCAGTCATCGCTCCATCATATCTGCCTATCTGGTGCCATTTTTTTATTATTATTGTGGTTTTAGAGCCTTGCTTTAATCACTGGTGAAAATAGTTACCGTATGAGGAATGCCAAGGAAACATGAAAGTCGAGGAAAATGCCCACGGCACCCACCAGTGATGCCAGGATCACCGCACGCACAGGGCTGCAAGAAACACCTTGGGTTAATTCCTGGTGAAACTGATTTGCACTGAGCTCAGCAGATGCCATGGAAGTTTCAGAGCTAACAGCCGGGGGCCTTGCCTGCACGTTCATGTTTTGACTGCGGACGCGATCGTTAAAAGCTGCTGCTATATTCAGAAACAAAACACAGCAAATCCTGCAGGGATTGGAGCCTGCCTTGGAACACCCTCAATTAAACAATTTCTACACTGTAAAATGAGAGAAGGTTTCCCCAGCGTGATTCATCCATCCCAAGGCAGGCATGGAAATAGGCTGGATGTGCTGGGCACTGCAAGTACCTAGTAAATGACCAGTTGGTATATAAGCAATTGGAATTCATTATTTATAGGTTACAGAGAAAATTGTCATTATATAGTAAGAGCCTGCTAAAAAGGAAAAGTTGCAAACAGGATGCAGAGAGCAATTAATTACTCACCTACGTTTGAGCCATTGCCATTGCTAAGAGATGGCTCATTTTCATGAGACCCTTGGC